CTAGGGATTAACGCTTGAAATATACCCTACACCCGTGCAATGTAATTATATACCCATATGTCCCTATTTTGTCGGCATGTTTTGACCGGCACAATATTTTATAGCATACTATAACTTGCACAATGTTTTACAAATTTAATTGACTATTTTTTATGAAAATTAATAATCATGATTTTTTAATTTTGTTTTATATTTAGGTTTATAGTTATTGAATTGTAATGTTATTACTCTGTATTATAAAAAAATCAATAAATATATAATAATAGCTAAAGTATCAAATCCTAGTTAGAGCAAAAAAAACTTTCAAAGAAAAAATACGTTGTAGAATGATACGAAGTACGGGAGTAGTACATTTTATTATTCTAATATATTACCTTATTATGTGTTTGTTTATTATAGAAAAATACCTATTATAAAAAACATGAAAGATATGCATATAGAATATATTTCGTATATAGTTGCCAAATTGAAAGTTAAATATCATAGGATATATAAAATAATATTAATGAAGATTTTGTACAAAAAGAAAAAAATGGAAAGAAAAAAGTGGCGGCAAAATTTTTAATCAGAACATGACAAGTGTCATGTCAGATTCGCTTTTAGTATTATGTAACTAGCATAGTGCCTGTGCGATGCACGGATTATAAATTTAATCAAATTATTAAACCCGTAGGAAAAATAAAAATAAAAACAAATGTAATTCATTTACTATTAAAGAACTTGTACTAATGGTCAATAAAAAAAAATTAAAGGAATGTTATTTAAATAGTATTTTATGTTATTTGAATTTCTTTTAATTTTTTATAATGTTATTTTATTAATTGAAAAATAATTGAATAATACTCCACATAGCTATATAAGAAGTGGACTAATTTATTTATATCTCCCGTTGAGAAAAAACTAAAATTTTCTTATCATACCATTCGCATCAGTAGCTACAATCAATCTAATATTTACATGTTTTATTTACCCGTCGCACTCTTTAAATCTATAGACACAATAATAACCTTATATTTGATCTACCAGAACATATATTCTCGTAAGTTAAGCATTGTGCCAAAAACTATATATTATATAATAGTCATATATATAACCAACAGCTGATTAAATATAGTATACGACACAAATGCTTTGTATATAGGTATGGATACTGATAATTTTATATAAATAAAATATACGGAGTATATATTACTAAGATTTATCCCTACCTTAATTATAAAAAGGTTAACAAAACTCTTATAATAGTGCATGAACATTTATATATCTAAAAATGTTCTTTTTACATATATTTTCCCCCATTTAATTTTAAATGCCTTAAAATTATCTCTTGAATTCGCTAAATTGATTTAAAAGGTTATGTTTATTTCAATATTTAAAGCCATTTACTATTTTCATTTCCTTTTGTTTTAATTTTCTATTTAGAATTTATTAGACTATTAGGTTTCAAGATCAAAGTCAATATCTTTTTACCGTACAATCACTAAATCAAAGTCGCTGAACTAAAGTTTTGGACATTGCATAGCTACACAACATCCAACACATTTAATGATTACATGCAAATAATTTTAATAAAACTACGCATTCGATATAAGTTATTAAACAATTTAACTATATATACATTTTGATAGGTTTATATCTTTCATATTAACAAAAATTTACAAATGTTATTATCATATTTTGGAAAAAAAATAGACTTTGGAGTTTTGTATAAGATAGATAAAGGATAAGTTAATTCCCGTCATATATGCATTGAGTTTTGGGTGTTCTATCCGGTTCACCCTTTGGGCTAATCTAGATTTGAGGATCAGTTCTAGGTTATTAGGTTCCACTCCCCTTCCGATTGTTGTTGCAGGGGAGCACACGGGTCCTCCCTACCAAGTGTAGTCTCAATCACCACTACACCAACAACCAATTGGTGTAGTGGCGATTGGGACTACACTTGGTATGGAGAACACGTGTTATAAAATATTATATTATATACGTATACTTTTTTATATTATAAAAAATATTATATTATATACACATACTATTATAGTTAAAAGTATTATTATGTATAAAACAACATAAATATTGTACATGATTGTTGTATATCTAGTATAGTACATGAGCAATGCACGATTTTTAAATAAAAATGTTAGTTTTTCTAAAAAAAATTCATAAGTAATTGCATTGTTAATACGAATATTACAATTTAAAACATGAGTAATAGTTATAATACATTTTATATCTATTCCTTTTCCATCAAATGTCTAATTCAATTGAACTTTTATTCCTCTTGTTTGGATTGATTATTGTTTTTATTTTTAATTTTTTTTTAATTTTTTTATGCAAGAAAAACAAATGGTCATTGTAAAAGACATTGTATAGAAAATGAAAGGCCGATTAAAATTAAATTTATGTTCAAGATTATGTATTTTTTTCCAAGACAACATTTCGGCTCAGCATTCAGTATTTGTCAAGGAGTACAACAAACGATAAAAGTAATTTTTACACTATTTTGTATATTTATAAAAAACTTTTGTATCAAAAACTTTTACTTTATTTTAGGTAACTTTTATCAATAAAGCATAAATAACTTTCATTCATTACAGAGTAGCTTTTATAATAGGTGGACAATATTTTATTGTACATCTGATATTTTGGGTAACTTTTATCAATAAAGCATAAATAACTTTCATTCATTACAGGGTAGCTTTTATAATAGGTGCACAATATTTTATTGTACATCTGATTTTTTTTAAATGTTTAATTAATTATGCCACTTTAATCATATTGCTTCAAATTAGTTATTATTCTTTAACTTAACTATAAATAAAGATTGGAAAGATTTTATGGATTATTTGTAGTATTGGAAAATATATATTTATTATAAAAAATTAAATCAATATTTATGTTAGGAAATCATGAAAATCTTATGCATGTATAGAAACTTGCTTTCATTGTTTGAAGTTTAACAAAAATAACTTTGCCTAAATATGTAAACAGTAATTATATAGATTTATTTTATACATAAGATAAGCCAATGAGAGAGTGACATTTGTCATCCTCACATTGAGGCGCTTGTCTTTTAGTATAATATATAGATAGATTGATAAGAACCTTGGTAAGTTATTCATTTGTAAAATGAATTTAATATGAAATAGTATGTTATCAACAAAATACTTATTTGAAATATGTAAGTATGTATGTATATTTATACAGCGTATGTATTATTATTTTACCAATAAATTTATATCATTTGCTCCTTGTTAACCAAATGAATATAATATATTTAACATAAATAGATTTCTTTTTTTGCATACTATTATTCTCTCTTTTTTCTAGTATTTTTTTTTCACAATAATCAACCGGCTTAAAATATTTTTTTTCCAAATCTTTCTTGCAAGCTTTTCATACATAATTATATACAAAAATCTTTTTTAAAAAAATCCTTGTTTTATTAATGGTAAAGTAGAATTAATACTATATACATAAAAAATATGTTAAGAATTTGAATTTTGTTTTTACTTAACTTTATGGTATCAATATATATTGTGGAACGATTCATTAAATATTTTCTAAAATTTTATTTGTGTTCAAGATTTGTTTCCTAAATAGATATTTAAAAAAATAATAAACACACAAAAAAATAACACGTGTCATTTTTGGTGTGTCTTATAGTGTATAATTATTGATTGATTATTGATTATCGATTGATTGTAATTGTACATGGATACTGGTATGTGAATGGCTAAACACCGCCAACAAAAATTATCACCACCGCCAACATTCAGTGTGAATGGACAATTGTACCCTTATTACTTCACCACCCCTTATCCTCCCGGCGACCCACAACCCTTCTGATCGGCGATGACCACCACCACCCTGATCGGCAACCCACCATACCCTCCTCTATGACGACCCACCACCTTCCCTCGCCGGCGGGAAGGCGGTGGTTTAATATATATATATATATATATATATATATATATATATATATATATATATATATATATATATATATATATATATATATATATATATATATTTATATATTTATTTATTTATTTATTTATTTCAGGCAACCGTGATAACTGGAGCCCAAAACCGGTTACGGTGCGCGGTAACCAGACCCTAGAACCCAAAATCGGTTACCGCACACGGTAATCGGTTTTGGGCTCCGGTTACCATGTAATCGGTTAAGGTGCACGATAACCGATTTTGTGTTCGGTTACCACGCACGGTAACCGGTTTTGGGCTTCGGTTAACGTGCACCTTAATCGATTCCATGGTAACCGGAGCCCAAAACCGGTTACCGTTCCCGGTAATCGGTTTTGAGCTCCGGTTGGTACGGTTGTCAGAAAAAAAAAACCACCACCTTTCTGCCAAAGAGGGAAGGTGGTGGGTCATCTTTGAGGGGGATGTGGTGGGTCGCTGGTCAAGGTGGTTGTGGTGGTGGTCGTCGTCGCCGGTCATTGTGGTGGTGGTGTTAGTCGTCAATTGGGGTGGTGGTGTCAATGTGTTCGTGATTGATGGCAAGAGGGAAGATAGTGGTGAAGTACTAAAGCTATGGTTGTCAATTCACACTAAATGTTGACGGTTTTGATATTTTTAAATGGCGGTATTTAACACCCCCTACTGGTATTCCGTACTAGTTAAAAACAAATCAAGTCCAAAAATTTGTCAACATCACCTTTCTCTATCCATTCACATGAAAAAAATAAGTACATACAACAAAAATTAGATGAAAATATCTCTATTTTACAAAGTCCATGTTCTATTATTTCCATAATCCAACTCATGCCATTTATGATAAGCACATGACTAAGTCCAAAATTCTTTTGAAAGAATATACAAACTACCCTTGTAACAAGGTAACAAATAGTATAATGTAATCCCAATCAAATAAATAATTATTCAACCAAATAATTCCTATCAAAATAAAAAAAAAAAAAAAAAAAAAATTCCTAACAAATAGCCTTTTGTTTTTACCCTTTTTCCTATTTTTTTGGGATAAAAAATCAATAGCGATCTACATCACACTTTGTACTTTGAGAACTCTTCCCAGAAGACAAACCAATTAACACAGGAATACAAATAATCCTCAATGTATAATTCTTATGCTTCCACCTTTTAACCTCGTATCTAACCGCCGCCCGAACCCGAACCTCTAGCTCAAATCGTCCGGCTTGAGTCTCATTCCTAATATCCCTAGCCAAGCCCGGGTCCGAAATCATAACATTTCGGGCCTTGGGTTGGGCCGTGAACAAAATATCATCCCCATGAAGTTGGGAATACGGGCCCAGTGTATCATATGCTAGGGTGTACCCATTGTGGTATACTGAGACCACAACAACGTTGTAGTCAATCTTGTACTTAGAGTCACGGTTGTGGGATCGTACCACAACCGTGAACGTAGCGTTGAGGCGATTGTCGGCGGTGAAATTGTAGTCGTTGACTGCGGCTTGATCGACGGAAAATGTAGGAGATTTCATCTTGTCCGCTAACCAAGCGATCAATACTGCTATACCTCCTAGGATAAAAAATGTGATTACGAAGCAAATAATCGTCGCTTTTGCGGCCATATTTATATTTGTTGTAATTATTTTCGTAATCGAATTTATTAGAGAAAGAGGAGAATAGAGAGAAGAGAGGGGAATGAAAAAGCGTGGAAAATTGGGATTCTTGAAAAATGTCAACTAAATTGCAAACAAAAGAAGATAGAATTAATCATACGAAAGTTCGTTAGCTATACAATTTTTATTTAAAAATTAGCTTAGGAAAACTAAACATTCGTAATATTTTATTTGACCTGTTAGAAATAAATAAATAAATTAGTGTACTTTAATATTTTATTTACTTTTGTTTTTGATCATATAATTACGGTAAGATCTATAAGAGCTTCAAACTCACATGGGTGATGAGCATAAATCCCATTTATTTAGAAACTATTTAAACCGACTTTATACATTGTTGAATCTTAAATGATAGTACCTAGTACTACTATTTGTTGATTTTTGTTTTTTAAATAAAAGACAGTTACACTTTCTGAGATTTTGTTTGGATGCAAAACTAGTCCTTTATCTGAGCAACACTTGGATATTAACTGAAAAATTATAAAACTTTACATTAACACAATATAGGGTATCTCTATTTCAATAGTGACAAATTATTAATTTAAAATTGAGTTAAAATACCAATTGGTTGTTGGTGTAGTGGTGATTAAAAATACACTTGGTAGGGAGGATTCATTTTTGATCCTCACAACAACAATTGGGAAGGGATTGGAACCTAACCACCTATTCTCGAATCCGGATTAGTCCAAAAGGTGAATTGGGTGGAACACAAAAAAAAAAAGAGTTAAAATCCATTTTTTTTACAGTAGGAAATAGATTCACGAATGAAGATTCAAGGTAATATAGAAGATTTTCTAATGTTAAGATATAAATAAACCTTTTTTAGTTTGGTGATGTTCTATTTGCAACAATAAACTTCATTTTAATTGATTTCGAAATTTAAAAGGTAAACACTATTTGCTATGAGTCTAGGTTGTTCGTTATTGTTAGATTTCGGGAAAACTCCTTGGGTTGGAGTGTGTACCATTGAATAATATATATAGTGTTATAATACTAGTCATAATCCTGTTAGGAAACCTAGTACGATAAGAATACAAACTATATCATAAATATATACAAATATATCCTACTCCGCGACTAATATTATAATAATCCTATAATATCTATCACACCCCCGCAGTCATAGCGGGAGGAGGGCGTACGCTAAGACTGGACCTAAATTTTAGAAATAAATCTCGTGGTAGGCCTTTAGTGAAAATGTCTGCAAACTGATATCTAGTAGGGACATGCAGAACCCGAACTTCTCCCAAAGCAACCTTTTCTCGAACAAAATATATATCCATCTCCACATGTTTGGTGCGTTGGTGTTGTACCGAGTTGCCAGAAAGGTAGATTGCACTGATATTATCACAATAAACAATAGTAGCCTGCCGTAGAGGACAATGTAACTCAAGTAAAAGATTACGAAGCCAACACGCCTCTGAGACAACATTTGCGACGCCTCAATATTCTGCTTTTGAACTCGACTTAGACAAAGTATGCTGACGCTTAGATGACCAAGACACGAGGTTGTCCCCAAGGTAACAACAATAGGCCGATGTGGAACGTCGGGTATCGGGACAACCTCCCCAGTCAGCGTCAGTGTAAGTAATAAGTCGATGAGAAACAGTCGGATATAAATGTAAGTCGTGATCAATGGTACCCTGAACATAACGCAGAATGCATTTCAATGCCTCATAGTGAGGTTCCCGGGGATCATGCATAAAAAGACACACCTGTTGTACGGCATATGCAATATCTGGCCTAGTGAAAGTGAGATACTAAAGAGCACCTGCTAAACTACGATACAAAGTGGGATCCCGAAAAGGTGGCCTTGCATCTGCACTAAGTTTGGACTTAGTGTCAACTGGAGTAGCTGCAGGTTTACAAGAGGTCATTCCTGCACGCTCTAAAATCTCCTGTGCATACTTTTCCTGTGAAAGCAGCAAATAAGAGGGAGTGCGAGTCACTGCAATCCCTAAAAAATAACTCAGAGGGCCCAAATCAGTCATAGGAAACTCAGTTTGTAACTGAGATATGATCCCTGCACGCAACCTGTCATATGAGGTTGCTAATATAATATCATCAACATATAGAAGCAAATATGTCATATCTTCACCCTGCCGGAAAGTAAAGAGAGAGGTGTCACTCTTAGCAATGACAAAGCCCAACTTAATGAGAAAATTTGCAAAGCATTGGTACCAAGCTCTAGGAGCTTGCTTCAAACCTTAGAGAGCCTTGCGGATTCGACAGACATGAGAGGGCGCTATCTGATCAAGGAAACCCGGAGGTTGATGCATACGAACAGTTTCCTGTAAATCACCATGTAAAAAGGCATTTTTGACATCTAATTGATGTATCGACCACTTTTTAGCTAAGGTTAAGCTGAGAACAGTACGAATAGTGGCCGGTTTAACTACCGGACAAAAAGTCTCATCACAATCCACACCAATTTCCTGCGACCTGCCATCACATACAAGACGATCTTTGTGCCTTTCAAGGTCACCATTAGACTTGTATTTATGCTTAAAGAGCCACATACAATTAACAACATTCACCCCCGCAGGCCTAGGCACCAATTCCCATGTCTCTGTTTTAATTAAAGCACTATACTCATCATTCATCGTCGTATTCCAATTATGGTCATGTAAAGCTTGTTTATAAGACTTTGGAAGGGGTGATTTAAGAAGATTGGGACTCGAAGGTTGAACGGTGAGGTTACAATATTTTGGGTTGGGTTTAATAATGCCTCGTTGACTACGGGTGACACGAGGTGAAGGTGTGGTGGCTGAGTGGGTTTTATGGGCGGTATTCCACGCAAAGGAGGCGGGGAATAAGTGGGTGATGGGGTGGCTGGACTGCTCTCCGTAAGTGGGGTGGGCAGGGTGTGGGCAGAGGGGTCCGCACGCCTGCCGCGGTGTGGGCTGGACTGCCACAGCCTAGCTGGGGTGTATGCTGCTGGACAGGGGTGTGCGTGGGGGAGGTTTGGTGTGGGTTGCCTGTGTCTGGGCTGACTACAGGTGGGATTGGGCCACGGTTTTGGTTTGTGGTTTGTGAGCCACAAACTTGGGTTGGTGAGAAAATTGGGCCTGCTTGTTGCGGGCCATGAAAATGGGGGTGAAACAAGTCAGGGGATGGGGAATCGTCAACCAAGAATTCATAATTATTGCTACGAAATTGAGCTAGATTGCGAAAGGGGAAAGTGGCTTCATCAAAATTTACATGTCGGGAAATGATTATTTTATAGGTGGTGAGATCAAGACACATGTACCCTCTAAGGTCAATCGGATAACCCAATAACACACATGGTGTTAACCGAGGAGCTAATTTATGTGGATCTATGGAAGACAAATTAGGAAAACAAAGACACCCAAAAACACGAATGTGATCATACGAAGGAGTTTTTCCAAACAGGGAAAATGCAGGAGTATTGTTTTTAAGGGTCTTGGTTGGCAAAATATTTAGAAGATAAGTGGCCGTTTAGTTTCAAGAGCATAAAACCAATATGAGAGGGGGGGGGGGAGAGATGCATGAAAGTGAATTGTACGCTAAATATTATTAAGTGTGCGAATCATGAGTTCGGCTTTTCTGTTTTGGGAAGAGGTGTGTGGACAAGAGAAGCGGGAAAGCATCCCATGATCAATGCATTTTTGCTTAAAAGGGTCATTATCAAATTCCCTACCATCATCACATTGAAAGCATTTAATTTGACTTTCAAATAGAGTTTCAACATATTTTCGGAAATTGACAAAGGATTGAAAACCTTGAGATTTGTATTTTAAAGGAATTGTCCACACAAAGTGAGTATGATCAACTATTAAGACTAGATAATATTTGTGACCTTGAGAACTACGTATAGGAGATGCCCATAAATCGGCATGTATAATATCAAAAGCACAAACAGTAGTATTATTAGAATTATAAAAGGGAAGTCGAGTATGTTTTCCTAATTGACATGAATTGCAAAACGTGGAGTCATGCTCCTTATTACAAGAAATATGATTTTTAGACTTAAGATAGCTAAAAACTTGAGCTCCAAGGTGTCCTAGACGACGACTATGCCAAGTAGATAGCGAAACTACAGTGAGGGAAGTAGCAAGACAGGTTGACGGAGTGGACTTGGTGGGTCTGACTGGATATAGGTCTCCCGAACTATCACATCTCGTTATTATGTTCCCTGTACGAAGATCCTTCACAGTAAAACCAAAAGGATCAAACTCAATAGATACAGAATTATCAGAGGTAAATTTACGGACTGAAATAAGGTTCGTTATGAGTTGAGGTGCTAGGATGACATCACGAAGGACAAGAGGTGTTTTAGTATGGGGAAGGGTACCATAACCATAACTTGTTACTGGAATACGATGACCATTACCAACTAAAATATGATTTTTAGTGCTTAAATTAAACAGGGGTAAGAGATTACCAGCATTATTCGTCATGTGAGATGTGGCACCCGAATCCACGTACCACTAATTGTCGAGATTTGGAAGACTCATTGTAGAGAACGAAGCTGCCAAGTCCGTAGGTGTCATGGGCTTTCCAAATTGAGCTGCGTAGGCCTGCTGAGACTTGGTCTGACCAAGGATTGACTGCTAGTGTTGGACGGGAAAAGGGGTAGGGGGCCTGGCCCATGTGGTTTGCTGAGCCCACCGCTGGAAGCTGGCCTAAAGTTGCTGTTGACTTTGGCCGGATTAGTTAGGTGGGGTGGACTGGGCCTGGGCTGACTGTTGGTGCTACTGTTGGCCACGTCCTCTGCCCTTTGGTTTGGACTTTCAACCCCAACCTTTATTGCCGCGCCCACCGCCACCACCACCCCTGCCCTGTTGTTGCGACGACTGCTGCTGTTGCTGAGCGGCTGTCATGGTGGTGGTGGGGGTGTTGTTTGCCTGAGTAACAAACGCTTGTCCAGAATTGTCCTAGGTGGATTTACGAGACTCCTCTAACAAGATCCTTGATCGTGCTTGTAG